TGTGATTGGACACAGCTGATCACATGACTGAGCCGACATCTTTGGCTCTTTCCGTGATCCGCTGTGTCCGAGGGACATAGCGCACTGCGTGTTCCCTGAGCCGCGCATGCGCAGTGAGAATGGTAGGATGTCATATGACATCCTATCACAATGAGAGAACCACCTTGAGCCCGTCATTGTACTATAGGGCGGGCGGAAGGTGGTTAATATAGTGATTTCCTATAATAGTCAGCTCCATCTAGTGGCCATTATGGTATATATTTCCTGAAATACACTATATTGCCAAAAGTATTGGGCCAGCCCTCCAAATCATGTGATTCAGGTGTTCCAATCACCTCCATGGTCACAGGTGTATACAATCATCACCTAGGTATGCAGACTGATACAAAAACAATGGAGAACCATCTGCGCTACCCTGAATACACTATTATTCTAGGAATGGGTTGCCGCTGACACCTGGCTATACACCTGGATAGAATGGGATCAAAATTATAACAAAATTGGTGCTGTTAGAGGCTGAGTACCAGTAGTCAGAGGGGGTCAAATTTTGGTCAGGGCTGAGAGGCTCTGCAGACCAGCTCTCTAGAACTTCCCCCTGATCTAGAGACTTGGAGAAGTCTCTAGAATTTAGTGGGCAAGAGCAGTGGCGTACTTAGGTTTTGTGCTGCCCTAAGGAGCGCAAAAATTGGGTTCCCCCCCCACAGAGAGAGCCTGACATTGACCAACAACTCTGCCAACCCCCCCACCTGAGAGAGCCTTCCACTAACAACCCCCCCAAGCAAGAGAGCGAAAGACACTCACCTTCACAGTTCCAGACATCCCCGGGCTCTCCATACAACATAAAGCAGCCCGCAACCTCTCTCAGATTCCACCTAGTCCCCATGCTTCCCTTCTTCCGTCCTTTCTTCCAGGGGGCGATGCTGCTCCCCTGAAAAATGCCACCCTAGGCAAATGCCTTGTTTGCCTTGTAAATACACCCCTGGGCAAGAGTAAGGAGTGGCTGGTCTACACTCTTAAGTGGTCCTGGCCAATCCCCAAGCAGGAGGCTTGGCATGGGGTCAGGACAGCCTTTAAGAGTAAGAAAGCCTGCTCAGCAGGAGGAAAGTTTGGGTGGAAGATGGACTGAGCAGGAGAGTGTGTGTGGAGCCTGGGAGGGGTCCAGGAAAGGGGCCTACCTGCAGGCAGAGGAAGGGAGGATCTTTCAGTCTCGCTGTCCCCTAAGAGAGGACAGCCTGGGCAGCAGGGAAGGAGCCACCCAGCGTAAGGCCTGAAGGCAGTCACCAACCCACACACTTTCAGGAGAGACCAAGTACGTAACCACACACCCCTAGGCTGGATAAGGGGAAAGGGCATTCGGGCAGGAAACCTAACTAGCTCTCATCTGGGACTGCTTTCATTTAAAGTGGCAGCTTCTGGAACCACTGGCCAGGAATTCCTTCAGGAACCTGGGTGAAGATTTCATCTAGGGTTTATGGAGTTACGTAAGGAGAGGCTAGCTAGCTCTCCAAGAAGAGAAGAGAAAACCTTTCTGACTACTTGTACATAGTTGGTGGAAGTTGTCTTCAGTTTTACAGTTCCTAGGGCATCCCATAATAAAATGTACTGTCTGAAGTGCAAGACTGGAAGGAAATGTGTGTTACCTGGCTGTGCAGGACTACAGGGGGACCCATAACTTTAGCAACTCCCAAGGGGGTAGTTATATTATATATATTATGATATATATATATATTACACTATATTGCCATATGTATTGGGACACCCCTCCAAATTCAGGTGTTCCAATCCCCTCCATGGCCACAGGTGTATACACTCAAGCCCCTAGGCATGCAGACTTCTTCTACAAACATTGGTGAAAGAATGGGTCGCTCTCAGGAGCTCAGTGACTCCAAGCGTGGTCCCGTGATAGGTGGCCACCTGTGCAATAAGTCCATCCGTGACATTTCCTGGCTACTAAATATTCCACGCTCAACTGTTAGTGGGATTATAACAAAGTGGAAGCAACTGGGAACAACAGCAACTCAGCCACCAAGTGGTAGGCCACGTCACATGACAGAGCGGGGTCAGCACATGCTGAAGCGCACAGTGCGCAGAAGTCACCAACTGTCTGCAGAGTCAATAGCTAAAGACCTCCAAACTTGGTGTGGCCTTCAGATGAGCCCAACAACAGTGCGTAGAGAGCTTCATGGAATGGGTTTCCATGGCCGAGCAGCTGCTTCCAAGCCTCACATCACCAGGTGCAATGCAAAGCGTTGGATGCCGTGGTGTAATGCACGCCGCCACTGGACTCTAGGGCAGAGGAGACGTGTTCTCTGGAGTGACCAATCACACTTCTCTGTCTGGCAATCCGATGGACGTGTCTGGGTTTGGCGGTTGCCAGGAGAACAGTACTTGCCTGATTCCATTGTGCCAAGTGTAAAGTTTGGTGGAGGGGGGATTATGGTGTGGGGTTGTCTTTCAGGGGTTGGGCTTGGCCCCCTAGTTCCAGTGAAGGGAACTCTTAAGGTGACATTTTGGACAATTTCATGCTCCCAACTTTGTGGGAAGAGTTTGGGGATGGCCCCTTCCTGTTCCAACATGACTGCACACCAGTGCACAAAGCAAGGTCCATAAAGACATGGAGGAGCCAGTTTGGGGTGGAGGAACTTGACTGTCCTGCACAGAGTCCTGACCTCAACCCCATAGAACACCTTTGGGATGAATTAGAGTGGAGACTGCTAGCCAGGCCTCCTCCCCCCGACATCAGTGCCTGACCTGACAAATGTGCTTCTGGAAGAATGGTCCAACCTTCCCATAGACACCCTCCTAAACCTTGTGGACGGCCTTCCCAGAAGAGTTGAAGCTGTTATAGCTGCAAAGGGCGGGGCCAACTCAATATTGAACCCTATGGACTAAGACTGGGGGGGCCATTAAAGTCCATGTGCATGGAAAGGCAGGAGACCAATACTTTTGGCAATATAGTGTACCTCCATCAGGAAAAATAGAGAAATACCACATTTTGGACAGAGATTGAGCCAATGGTAATAGGAAATCACTGTATGAAATAAGAAAAACCAACATTGGTTAGGGCTGGGTGAATGTTTTCTTTTTTAAAAACAGACCTAAGTGTTTGTGAAAGTTTACACCAAAAAATATACTCAGCCAATGAGGAAATTACTCCATTTTAATTTTTCTCCTGCTATCAATGTCCAACACACAATCTTTGGTGACCTCTGATCTCCTTATGAACGGTTTCTTCCATGATGAAGATCAGCCATGGAGTATATCTGAGGTGTATATCAGGGTGTGCTTCTTCCCCACATGAGAGCTGGGATGTCCAGCAACATTCACCTAGAACAGTGTTTTTCAACCTTTTTTGTGCAAAGGGCACTTTTTTTTCATGAAAAAAATCACGAGGCACACCACCATTAGAAAATGTTAAAAAAATTTACCTCTGTGCCTATATTGACTATATATATAAAGTAATTCTCTTGAATAGGAATCAAACACAAAGAAATTATTTTATAATTACTTTATTATGAAATAATAAAGTATTTTATAATTGGACCCGGGGCCGGACCAAGAGTAGATGAATGATGTGTATGTGTCATCCATAGTAAGTATAGTAATATTCCCCCATAGTAAGCATAGTAATTAATCCCCCATATAGTAATTCATCCCCCATAGTAATTAATCCCCCATATAGTAATTCATCCCCCATAGTAATTCATCCTCCATATAGTAATTCATCCCCCATAGTAATTCATCCCCCATAGTAATTAATCCCCCATATAGTAATTCATCCCCCATAGTAATTCATCCCCCATAGTAATTAATCCCCCATATAGTAATTCATCCCCCATAGTAATTAATCCCCCATATAGTAATTCATCCCCCATATAGTAATTCATCCCCATAGTAATTCATCCCCCATATAGTAATTCATCCCCCATAGTGTAATTCATCCCCCATAGTGTAATTCATCCCCCATAGTAATTCATCCCCCCATAGTAATTCATCCCCCATATAGTAATTCATCCCCCATATAGTAATTCATCCTCCATATAGTAATTCATCCCCCATAGTAATTCATCCCCCATATAGTAATTCATCCCCCATAGCAATTCATCCCCCGTATAGTATTTCATCCCTCGTATAGTATTTCATCCCCGTATAGTATTTCATCCCCCGTATAGTATTTCATCCCCCATATAGTATTTCATCCCTCATATAGTAATTCATCCCCCCATATAGTATTTCATCCCCCCATATAGTATTTCATCCCCCCATATAGTATTTCATCCCTCATATAGTAATTCATCCCTGATATAGTAATTCATCCCCCATATAGTATTTCATCCCCCCATATAGTATTTCATCCCTCATAAAGTAATTCATCCCTCATATAGTATTTCATCCCCCACAGTACTATTCCCCCCCCCCCCCTTCTAGTAAGCCAAGTCCCCCGTGTCAATTCACTTACCTTTTGCGTTCCTCTCGCTGTCTTCCCGCGCCGTTCGGGTCTTCAGGGCGGACTGTGAGAGGAGCCTAGCTCCCCTCCCCTCACGTTCGACACGCTGCCCCGCCTACACACATCCTGACAGCCACATCCGCAAGCCGGATTAAAAGGTCCGCGCGGACTTTTGGGGCTGCCAACCGAGAGGAGGCAGGGGAGCGGCCGACCGAGAGGAGGGAGGGGAGCAGGCGCCCGGCACACAGAAGAGCCGCATTAGACTGGGTAAAGAGCCGCATGTGGCTCGCGAGCCGCGGCTTGCCGACCACTGAATCATTAGATTCTAATGATTGGTCTATTTGTGAGCCGAAGCCACATGTTACAGATGAAATTGGAATTTTTCCCACGGCACACCAGACAATATCTCACGGCACACTAGTGTGCCGCGGCACAGTGGTTGAAAAACGCTGACCTAGAAGACATTTCCCGCACTCAAGGCACTAATACACCTCGAAGGTTGTGTGGGACCCCGATGTATTGGAAGAGAGGACTTCAGTGAGGAACATTTCCCTCACTCAGGACAGAAAAGTGGTGTCTCCCTCGTGTGCAATTTCTGATGTTTGTAAAGATGGGACTTCTGTGAAAAACATTTCCCGCACTCAGGACAGGAATACGGCTTCTCCCCCGTGTGCAGTCTCAGATGTGTGTAAAGATGTGGCTTCTGTGAAAAACATTTCCCGCATTCAGGACAGGAAAATGGCTTCTCCTTCGTGTGAGATCTCTGATGTGTGACAAGTTCTGTTTTTCGTATAAAACATTTCCCGCACTCAGAACAGAAATGTGGCTTCTCACCTGTGTGAGATCTCTGATGATTATGAAGATTGGACATATCTGAAAAACATCTTCCGCACTCAGGACAGGAATGTGGCTTTTCCCCTGTGTGAGATCTCTGATGTCTGTAAAGATTGGACTTCTGTGAAAAACATTTCCCGCACTCAGGACAGGAATACGGCTTTTCCTGCGTGTGAGATCGTTGATGTCTGACAAGTTTTGATTTTCCTATAAAACATTTCCCGCACTCAGAACAGAAATACGGATTCTCACTTGTGTGCAATCTCTGATGTTTGTGAAGATTGGACTGATATGAAAAACATTTCCCACAATTAGGACAGGAATATTGCTTTCCCCCTATGTGAGATCTATGATGTGTAACCAGCTCTGATTTTTGTATAAAAAATTTACTACACTCAGGACAGGAATACAGTTTCTCACCTGTGTGCAATCGCTGATGATTGTAAAGAATTGACTTTCTTGAAAAACATTTCCCGCACTCCTTACAGGAATACAGCTTCTGGTTTGTGTGAGACCTCTGATGTCTGACAAGCTTTGATTTTTGTACAAGACCTTTCCTGAACTTCGTATGGAAATAAGGCTTCTCACCGGTGTGCAATCTCTGATGACGGTAAAGATTCGACCCAACTGAAAAACATTTTCCCACACTCATGACAGGAAAATGGCCTCTCCCCCGTGTGAGATCTCTGATGTTTAATAAGTTCTGATTTTTGTACAAAACATTTTCCACACTCTGAACAGGAATACGGCTTATCCCCCGTGTGAGACCTTTGATGTGTGACAAGCTTTAATTTATTTACAAAAGTTTTCCCACGCTCAGGACAGGAATACGGCTTTTCCCCCGTGTGAGATCTCTGATGTCTGTAAAGATGTGACTTCTGTGAAAAACATTTCCCGCACTCTGAACAGGAAAATGGCTTCTCACCCGTGTGAGATCTTTTATGCATATCTAAAGCAGATTTGAAACGGAAACCCTTCCCGCACTCAGTACAGGAGAAGCTCTTCCCTGTTGGAAGGCCGGCCCGGTCCCGCACAGTCTGAGGTTCCTCAGGATACGAGGAATCCGATGGTCCATCTACACTGGGTGGTGCCGGATGGACATTGGAGATCGGGTTTTCTCCTGGACTATACTGTGTGATGTCCTCATCTTCTACTTTCCAGTCTGGAGACAAAGTGAGACAATCCTCGGAGGTTTTCCTCATCTCCCGGCCATGGACTAAAATACAAAGACAAAGAGGATTACTAGACAGGAGCTGATTGGTTCCCCCAAACCAGGACTCCGCCCACATCAGGCAGCTTGGTCTCTGAGGAGCTTACAATTCCACCCTCAAGGGAACTAGGAAATGGCTCCTCTGATCTCCTACCAGGTCATTTCTTTATTCATGGACCTTAGTCAGAGAGTGAGAAAACAACCAGAACTGTCTTTTATAGGAGGGACAGTGATGAGGGGATTATAGGACGAGGGTCCCCACCCCCTCTATCACTCATCGCCGCATCTTCCCAACACAAGAAGTACTGCACTTCCTTATTTAGTCCATGATTTAGTCATGAAGAACAGCGGGGCTGAGCCCCACCAGAGGTCAGAGAGTGAGGATGGGGGGAGAACAACCAAGATGAAGACTGGACTGATCCTGAAGACCACCATCATTGGGGTATTGACTCCTCCCTCATTATCACTTTCTGTTTAAGGGTTCCCGACCTGCCTATAGCAGATTATACTGCTACAGAGCGGCAGGGTAAAAGTGTGCAAAATCACAGACCACCAGAGGTCAGAGAGTGAGGCTGGGGGGAGAACAACCAAGATGAAGACTGAACTGATCCTGAAAAAAACTCCCACTGCAGATTGGTTCCCCAAACCAGGACTCCGCCCACATCAGGAAGCTTGGTCTCTGAGGAGCTTACAAATCCACCCTCAAGGGAACTAGGAAATGGCTCCTCTGATCTCCTACCAGGTCATTTCTCTATTCATGGACCTTAGGCTGCTTTCACGCTGATCTGTTTTTCTTCCGCTATTGCATTAAAAAGGAAGAAAACCAAGTGACTATGGCGCTCTTCACACTGATCAGGCACAGGGCAAGTGGGTTTTTCTCTTCTAAGTATTTTTATGAAAAATGTTTCAAAAACAGTATTGTACAAGTACGAACAGATAGAATGTCAAATAGCAGGACCTTCCTCCTCCTTCTTCCTCATCATGCTGAAGCCCATAGCGGTGGTAAACCATAGTTAGCTGTGCCTTCAGGTGTTGGATATTTATTTCAGGTACTTCTATAGCTCCAGGGGTCAATTTACACAGTGATTTACAATATATTGTACATTCCCATCAGTCCCTAACCCTCAAGGGGTGTACAATCTAAGGTCCCCAACTACATTCATACATACACATACTAGGGACAATTTAGACAGGAGCCAATTAACCTACCAGCATGTCTTTGGAGTGTGGGAGGAAACTGGAGTACCCGGAAGAAACGCCACACAGGCACAGGGAGAACATGCAAACTCCAGGCAGGTGATGCTGTGGTTGGAATTCAAACCAATGACCCTAGTACTGCCAGGCGGAAGTGCTAACCATTTAGCCACTGTGCTGCTGGATATTCCTCACTCATAGTGCAGAAAGGTCCCATCTGGGCATTTATAGGTGACACGGGAGTCCTAATACCACAGAGTATTTGGCAGTTCTACATTATATGCATTGCAGCTGAATAGCTTTAGAGCAATATGAATGGTTACCATCGAACCGTAGAAGGTTCCCGGTGCCCAATAACTCCTATGTTAGGATAGGGAACCCTTCAAGTTTGTAGCAATAAAGAAAAGGGAGGGGATGGAGGAAGTAATGAAGGGAGGGGGGGTTAGCATAAAAATCTAAGTAATAGAGGTAAAAGAGGAGTGGAGGGAGGGAAAGAAAGAAAAAAAGTGAAGAATGAGACTGATCACCACGTTCCCATCTACCTACCTCCAGGCCACCCCACCCACTAGGGAGATTGAAGGTATCTAATCCAGGGGTTCCATATTTTTTCAAATCAAAGCGGTTTGTCCTAGAGGATGCTAGCCAAGTTCTCATTAATCATTATCCACAAGTTTTTTTTCGTTTGACTAGCACAAGGTCGATCACAGGTGTTTTCCACACTCACGCTACAGTAATCTGGGCTGCCGAAAAGATATAGGAGGCAAGAATTCTGAGGTGCTTGGGTAGCTCGCTCCACAGATCAGAAAATAGTGCCATCTTGGCATTTTTGAGGACATTGAACCCAGTCACTGTATAAAGCAAATTGAATATTCTGGTCCAAAACCATTGAACCTTCGGGGAGGTCCACCAGACGTGGTACGCGGCCCACTTGCCCACACCCCCTGAAACATAGCGGCGAGGAATCAGGGTAGATCTTAGCCAACCATGTTGGAACGAGATACCAGCACTTTGTAGTTCAACTCCACCAGGGTAGTGTTGAGAATTCCCCTGTGCACCATGGTTGACCATTGGGACCAAACATCCTATTCTATTCCTACTCCCAAGCCAACGGTAGGAAGTTTAGGGCCTTGGTCTGCAAACAGGGAGTATAACTCCGAAATGCTACCACGCATACCAGGATTATGCAGACACCTATTCTCATAGAAGGTCCTGGTAGTGATATCCACAGGAACTCAACCAAGGATGTGTTGAGAATTCCCCTGTGCACCATGGTTGACCATGGGGACCAAACATCCTATTCTATTTTTCTTAGATCCTACTCCCAAGCAACCGTAGGAAAGTTTAGGGTCCTTGGTCTGCAAACAGGGAGTATAACTCCGAAATGTTACCACATGCATGCCAGGATTATGCAGACACCTGTTCTCATAGAAGGTCCTGGTAGTGATATCCTCCGGATCTTGACCCTGTAAATAATGAGTGATTTGATAAAGGTGGAAAGTCTCTGAAGGGGGGCATTTGTGGGGTCTCCCAGGAAATAAGAAAATTGTCCATTTCCCCTGTGGTCTACAAAGTGGGCTATTCTGTAAAGGCTCTTGGTAACCCACCATGCAAAATGTTGAGGCTTTTTTTGTCCGGGGGGAAAGCATGGGTTCCCAAAAAGGGGGGGCACTGGAGTATGTGGTGACTTTGGTGTGTTTTTCACAGTCCTACTTGCTACATTTTAGGTGCGGTAAAAAAAAAGAAGTAAAAAAGTACCTCCCCTTTGAAATCAATGAAAAACACAGCAAAAACGCATTTAAAACAACATACCTGTGGACCTCCTTTCCCCTTTTCTGAGATTTCGGGATGCCCTGGTTTCCCATATGGCCCGTGCAGCTGGTTGCTTGTGATTAGACCTTTGCCTTCTTAGCCACTCAGGGGCCATACTGTGACCACGTAACTGATTTATTATGTTGTTGCCTATTATTATACACCATAATGCTGCTCATTTACTTGTTTATTTGTTATATTTGGCTCATTTATTGCCATGTTTTGTAGCTTCTGTGTACTTTATATTGTACGATTTTTGGCTACCTTACCAGAAAAATTTATAAATAAAGGAATTATAAAAAAAAAAATGCACCTGTGTTGCGTTTTTGGTGCGGAGTCACATGTCCTTTAACCATTAGCCGCCCGGCCAATGGCCGTTTGGCGGCTTCAAAATTGTCTCTGCACTCCGGGTGCACGCCATTAGGCGTGCTCCCGCACATGCGCAGTTTGCGCTAATGAAGAGCGGCGCAGCAGTGCGATCTGTCACCGGGGGTGCACCTCGGACATGGCCGATGACAGATCCGAGTACCGGCTCCCGTTGCTGGTACCATGTGACCTGCTGTGACCAATCACAGCAGGTCACATGACAGTTGTATACAATGGATGGCTTCATTCATGATGCCATCCATTGTATACTAGTGCCTAGCTGTGAATGGTCACAGCTAATCACATGCACATGTCATGTGATTAGCTGTGACCAAATCACAGCTAAGCACAAAAAAAAAAAAAAAAAAAAAAAGCTGAATGAATCGATTTCATTCAGGTAAATGCTTGCTTATAGCAAAGTAATTCTTTGCTATAAGCAAATTGTGTAAAAAAAAAAAAAAAATACTGATCCCTTCCCCAAAGTAGTACAATGTTACTATGGTAACATTGTACTACTTTGGTCATAGTAAAATATGAAAAAAAATCTTAAAAAAAAATGTAATAAAAAATTAAATATAATAAAAAAAAAATATATATATATATATATATTTTTTTTTCATACTGTCACCAGTCAGTGTCCCTGATCACCGCCATGCCAGTTATATGATGACGCTGTACTGCACTGGTGACAGTATGTAAAAAAAAAAATAGTGAAAATAATTTTTTTTAATTTTTTCATTTTCCGAAAAATTATGACAAAAAAATACAACTTCAAAAAACTCGCCATTCCTCTTATGAAGTACATCGGACTGTCTACTCTGCAAAAAGGGGTCATTTGGGGATATCTGTACTGTTCTGACATTTGGGGGATATCTGTACTATTCTGACATTTGGGGGATATCTGTACTATTCTGACATTTGGGGGATATCTGTACATTTGGGGGATATCTGTACTGGGGGGAGATATCTGTACTATTCTGACATGTACTAATCTGACATTTGGGGGATATCTGTACTATTCTGACATTTGGGGGATATCTGTACTGTTCTGACATTCTTGGACCTCAAGAAATTAGATTGGCTGTCAGTACTTCAGGATTGATCAATATTCAGATCTATACCATAGTTTGGGAACTCTATAACTTTACTACAAACTAAATAATACATCCTAATTTGGGTTATTTTCACCAAAGACATGTAGCAGAATACATCTCGGCCTAAATTTATGAAGAACAATTATTTATTTGTAAACTTTTATAACAGAAACAAAGAAAAATAGTGTGGTTTTTTTTTTCAAAATTTTTGGTCTTTTTTTGTTAATTTAGCAAAAAATAAAAACCCCAGCGGTGATTAAATACCACCAAAAGAAAGCTCTAGTTGTGTCAAGAAAATGATAAAATTTTAG